TGTTAATTGATTTTTGTAGGACATAAATAAAATTTTGTAACATATACGATCCACGCGAAAAAATGATCCAATTCGAAATGCAAACAATAAATGAAAAATATAATTAAATAAATATTTCATTGTTTCGATATTCACTTTGTATAAAAAAATATATATATATAAAAATAAATATATTTATATTTTTCGCGCATGAATAACATAGCTTATTCAAAATATAAAATGTAAATTTTAAGAGAATCGCGCAATACGTTCCTTCCGTGTCGACGTTCGTCCTCGTACTGCCGAGTTTGTCTGTCGCGTCGCGAACGACCGAAGGAGAGACGCGCTCTATTATTTATAAACTTTGTGCCGCGCGATTGGAGCAAAATTTACGATGCGAATTTTTCGATCGATCTATCAATCGAATTTTCGATTTAATCGATCTGTGAACGGAACGGCGGGCGAAATAAATTCGTGATGCGTTTCCCTTGGAAAATTTTCGAGTGGGTGGGGACGAAATGGCTACCCAATATGTGCAAATTAAGCGCGGAATGCGGAATCCACGCTTAAGAGACTTGTCCATGGCGCTTAACGTGGCGTGTAGTCGAGAGATTGAAATCTTAATCGATTAAAAATTGTTCTCTCTTATTAAAATATTATATAAATATACGTGGAGTTTTATTTTATTTCAGAATTATGAATATTTATTATGAAATTGATACGAGAATATTTAATTATACGTGTTATGAAACGTAGATATATTATGCGAATTAATTTCATATCATTTCACAAGAATTTGATGTAATTAAGATTATTAATTAACAATTATTTTTCTTTTTTTTTTAATTGCCATGTGGAAGTGGTAGAATCTTTATTAAATTATTTCTCGAATTATTTTCGACTTACTTTTAAAATCGTGGAGAATTCTAATTTTTTTATTCTTTGAATAGGAAAAAAGACAACGAGAAGAAATTATTCATATTTTCATTCGTACTTTGTTTCGAATTACAATTCGTTCGATATCTTTTGACACGTATTACCTTTTCCTCTCGATCGTATAATTTATAAGAGAGTTAAAAAAAAAAAAAAGAAAATCTAATCAATCCGTTTTTTTTAAATCGATATCGCATTTTTTGTTGACAGAGGTCGCAGAAGAAGATCCGCGATTAATAACAAACTTGAAACTTTGCAACGTATCATGCAAATCATTAATAACAATCCTGAATTGCTCGACAAGGATAATATTCTTTCGTCACCGGTGGTAAGTTTATTAAAAATTATATTATTAATTTTATATGTAATCTTACAATTGATATAGAAAAAAAAAAATCTTTATTAATTTTTTCCACTTATAAATCTTTATTAATTGATTTTTTTAAAATACGTGATACCACTTGTCACGATTTTTTAAATTTTAGTAAAAAATATGAAATGATGAAATATTTATTGCAAAAATCCTCTTCGAATAAAAGATCGATATAAAATAATTCTTGAATAAGAATTAATTGCATTTCTCGAATTAGAATTATTATATAACTCGAGATATGATCATGTGCTCGCGTAATTCTTTTACTGTATCGTACAATCACAGAGATAATTGAACGAGGAAAGAGAAATAAAATGAATCGATGGCACGCGCCTCGATATCCAAACGTGAACTTTATGCAAAGAGTGCACCGTTTTCTCATGATAAATCCATTTTTTCACGCGTAATGACTACACTTATGATTTTCTTATTAACACTCTGTAACACGAATCTCGTTAATATTTTATCACGATGTTAGAAATCGTTCAAAAGTGGAAAACAAATATCTAGGAGATTAATCCAGAACGAGATGTTAAATTTACGTTTTATTTTAAAAATAATAATAATAATAATTTCACGTAAAAAATTAGCAAAACTTTATTTTTAAATTTCTCGATTAATATTAATCAGGAAATATTTCTTTCTTTTATTTCAGAAATTAAAGGAGAGTCGACAAAGAGCGAGCGAAGAATATCCATTTATTTAATTTCGAAACACGAAAATCGTGCTGGATCACAGGGCAAGCACGAAGATAGGGTCGAGAGAACGACGTATAATGAAGAAAAAAAAGAAGAAGAAGAAGAAGAAAAAAAGACAAAACAAAAACAAACGAAGAAAAAACAAAGAAGAGCAGAAAGAAAAGATTTTGAGAGAGCAAGAAAAAAAAGAAGAAAAATATTATACGCGATCTCTCGACCCTAAAAACCGCCTACAAACAGTATTACGGACTGTCCTTCGTCCGAAATTAAAAAAACTATTAGGATAACTAAGTAATTAATCACGAAATATATAAGAGAAGAAGATGACAAAAGAAATTAAATCGTATTCGATAAGTATTTATCGATTTCGATGTCGATCGTGGTTTAATTCGATTTTTATTCGTTCCTGAACATCTGCCATTTTCGTTATTTATTTATTTATAATTTATTTTATTTTAGCATAGAGTGTATAATTTATTTATTATTTATCGATCTTAGACTGTTATTCTTCTCGAAGAGAAACGTACTGTATACAGTAGAAATAATTGGAGGGGAAATTTTTTTAAATAACTGATCCAAATAGAAAAAAAAATTCAAATTTACGAACATGTTATAAAAACACGACACAACATAAACATGTCGTAAAAAAGAAATTAAAAATCGAGCAATTTTTAAATACGAATGTTTATTATAAAATTTAAAAAAAAAATAAATAATTAAAATTTTACAATCAACGTTAGAGAAAAAGTGAGAAAGAAAGTAAATATTGTTAGTTCAAGCATAGATAGACAAATGATTCATCCTGTGTTCGGATAATCGGATTATTTGTATAACCTCGATTTGGATAATCGACTTTCTACTGTGTACATTCTTCCCTTTTCTCTTTTGATTTAATAATTTATCTTATAGTTGCATTTTTTTTTAAGAATAATTTGTGGTGTGACGAAGGACGAATGATATTTTAGCGATGAATGAAGCCTATTTTCATTGACAATGTTTCGATGTTTTGATTAATGATTATTTAATTGTATAATCTTAGGCTCCGTTACTTTCCGAAACGGATGGATTTTAACGATTCAGAGCTCGAATAATGGTTCTCTCTCTTTTTTCTTTTTTTTTACAAGAATCTTCATTTTAAATGTACAAAACTATTACATCGCTGTTCCATATTTTTTTCTCGATCGTTTTTATAACGCAACGATTCTTAAATTTTTCAAAGTAAAGTTTTTTTCAAGAAAAATGAAAACCGAAAAGATTGTGGGGCTGTTATTAGGAAAGGAAAGAATTATTTATTCTTGTGTTTTTTGTGTTTGCGATTAATTGTAAACAAGATTTTTTCATCGTCTCCGTTAAATGTGTTATTTTATTATTGTCGAAGAAGCAGAGATAAAAATTAATCGCAATGACATTGAAATGTTTTAACAATTAAATTTGGGGAAAAAAAAAAAGATAAAAATTTAAAAGAATTTAAGAACTGTTGTTGGATTCTCATTTTTCATACGGATTATCGTTACATTGTATTAATTTATCGATGAATTCAAGAAAGAATGAGAGAGAGTGAGAAAAAAATTGCAATATTAATTAATACCAACGATTTTTCAAGTTATTAATAATAATTAAACTTTTCACGAAAAAATATCTTTCAAAGTATTTCAAATTCTATGTAATATTATCTATGTATATGTGTGTTCAATCTCTTTATTTTCTGTATCTCTTTATTTTTCTTAAATTATTTATTTATTTATTTATTTATCGTAGAAACCGAGAAGTATTAAAGACTATAACATGTTATAACTCGGCTAAATATGATTGTATCGTAATTTGTCTCGAAATCATAATCGATGAATTCGAAACAGTTTTATCGTTATTTTTCTGCGATTCTGCGTAATTATTCTTGATTATTTTAAAGAAATAAAAATAATAATCAGCTATACGAGAAAAAAAAATTATTTTTCTTTTTTTTTTTTTTCACTTACACTTCCCTTACACTGTCACTTTCCTCAAATATTACATTTCCATTGCGAGATGAAATCTTTAAAATTACGTATCGTTTCATTTTGTCCTGATAAATTAAATATACGCATCTGAGGCTCCCTCTGGAGAAATTTTAAGCGAATTATTACATACTGATGGTAAATATGATGTTTATCTTGATGTCTACTCTATTCGATCTTCGAACGATTTAAATGACCAAAAATTCGAATAAATTTTTTACTTTAGATCGAAAAATATGAAATGTAAACAGAAATATCTATAAAATTAATAATAAAATCAATTTAAAATTAACATTCGTAGATAATAATAATATAATCAAAAACTGTGTAAAAATTTTATTATAAAACTTTAAATAACTTCAAAATTACTATATAGTACATATTCATATGCTTGTGAGGTGTCGATTAATCTTAATATTTGTAATTTTATTATCAAAAAATTATTCGCGTATAACCTCATTTTGAGAACTGTTCTCTGGTCGGACTAAAAACGACTCGTACTACTATCAGTGAAAAAGCTAATGGAATAAGATCCCCTCTATTTTAAACAGACTCGAACGAATTCTCTTTCCCCGTTCTTCCGTTTTCCTTTCCCCAATTTTCTTTTACCATAAAATCATCTTTCCTAACTTCAATTCATAATAGAATTTTCTACTTAAATACTTTTCATTAAAAAAAAATCTCTTCACGATAAAATTACAAAATTTCAATAATATTATCTCGATTCGAAGAACACCATCTGCCCACACAACGCGCTATATATAAAACTAAAAAATATCTCTACTACTAAAATTACTAAAATTACTACGTTTATCAAAAGAAATTATAATCGTTTTCACATTGTCCATCCGTCACAAAAAAAAAAAAAAAATAAATAAACCTCTATCTTTACAAAATACAATACGACACTGTTCACAATGCAGAGAAGAGATATAATAATTATATATGGATAATAATTATCCATCATAAAAGAAAAGAGAAATTCCATTCGTCACGGGCGAATTGAGATCGTTCCTTTCTCCGCGTATCCGGAAACCGACTGCAATCGTCTCGAAGAATCGGAAGTTGGACGGAAAGGAAAGCTAAGCCACGATTTGCAAATTGCACTTCCTCCATGTTCTCGTTTGACTTTTACGACTCTTGATGTTTCATTCGTGGCGAGCGTGACCGACAGATATAAAATTATTTCATAAATACGCACACACAGATCGCGTGGGTGGACGATTTCGCAAGTTTTATTACTGCGCAGTAACGATAGTTGTGTGAGCGCGTTCGTGTCATATCGAATGGAACGGGCCTCCAAAGTTGCACAATCCTTTATTTCTGATTAGCATGGTTTGGTTTATCGGTTCTCGCTACGTAAAAGATTTCGCTCATCAACCTCCCTGCCTGTTTAAAAACCACGGATCGATTGCGAAAAAGCTCTCCGCGGATATCGCTTGCCGTACCGTGTGCGTCCGTGTTTTCGCTGCAAACTTTGTTTTCCTTCTCTGCCTCCTCTTTTATTTTTATACAAGTCTCGTAATAATGAGGTAAATCAGTAGTTCGTTGATCTCTCGTCTCTATTTCTTTTTGCTCGCTCTCCTCTTTTTTTTTTTTCTTCGCTCTGAGATGAGATTAGTGGCGCGTCGAATGTGCTTTTACTTAAAAAGAATTTTTTTTTTTTTTTTGGTAAGGAAAAAATGAATGAAGAGTAAAGAAGGAGTATAATGAAGGCGATTTCGATGATTAGTAGAAGAAGAAAATTAAACGAATACAGTGGATCTTTTGCAATAGATAATACAGATTTTTGAGACACTTTTTTTTTATTCAATAAAAAAAGTCAAAGTCATTTATAATGTTAAAGCAATTGATTTCTAGGAGATCGAAACTGATATGAATTTTATATTTTATAAGACTTGAAAAATTTAGTAATCTTTTTTGAGGCATTGAGTTATAAATTTTCCTTAATTATTAGTTCTTTTTTTTTTTTGAGCAAAGATTCTAGTTAAATAAAAGAAATTTAATTACAAAAATATTAAATTAGTATACAATGATTAGGTAATCCAATTTGAAACGTTTCTCAAGTAGAAAAATTAATGAACAATCGAGAAAGAACGATTTAACTTCAATTCAAAAAAAATCAGAATTCGTTTTTTTTATTTTATTCCCCCTTCTTCCCGTCATATTGTATACAAACATAGCGAGAAAATAAAGTTGGGTTATTGAGATATTCTAAAAAACAGAATGAAAAATTATCAAAGTTAATTCTAAGAAAAATGAAAGAAATATTTAATTGATCACCGATTAGAATCGTAACAACCTCGAAAATAAAGAGAATAATCCAAAAGAAGAAAAACAACGACGATAATACAAATAATATTTACATGTTCCATGTAAGAATCGAATTATTTCTTCATTGTTCGTTTTGTCGAATTTTAATCTCGAATCGTTGGTAGAAAAAACAAAATATATATTCATCTATCTTCGTCTGGTACAAATATATTTCGATTATACATTTTTACGATTCACATTCAACAAAATTGGCGTTTCATTGATCACCGGATATTCGCTTTAATCCTCGATCGATATCCTTGAATCATCGATTAATTTAATTTTTACTGCGTATACGCGATGATATCGAAGAGGAAAATCTATTTAAAATATGAAAAATATTTCCTTAAGATAGATTATGCAAGATTTGAATGATTAAACATAAACTTCCAATTAAATCATAATTTGTCATCGTTTCATTCTCATTTTAAGATTTATTCGGTAAAGAAAACCTATTAATTATAATATTTTATCAAATTTCCAATTATCCTTTAACTCTCTTCGATTATCGACTACCTATATTTGTTATCTACTTCGTTTTGGGGATAAAATTCGAATTACAACTCGTTCTTGCAGATATACGATTGGCGAATCATTTCGAGAAACTTAAATCATTTAAGTTGATTGATCACAACGAATGAAAAGTTTTTCTCTAGTTTCTTGAGATTTTAATTTTTCGCGCGAAATCTTTTGCACGAGAAGCATGCATGATTTTTCCGATAGACACGTGATAGAAAAAGTTACGTATATCATATATGAATCAAGACGAATCAAGTAATTATTCATTCA